TCCACGCACCAATCCCAAAACTACGGGGGAGGCGGGAAAACTAGGATTGCGGATACGGCGGGAAGGGTGTCCACGCACGAATCCCAAAACTACGGGGGTAGGAAAACTACTGGACCGGACGGCAAGGGGGTCCACATCCAGGTCCGAAGCAGCGGGGTAAAGTTAGGTTAGCTTTGGTACCTGACTACGAGAAGGAAACACACGATCGAGAGGTGCAATTAGATATTCTTCACTGTTTATTCAATTTGTCCTCACTCGGATCCGCTACACCGTTTTGAACACATAAGAATTTGATCGTACTAACCTCAGCTGACTTGCTTATATATATATGTGTGTCTTGTAATCGTCCGCGTGGCCACTCCGTAGAATTTGATCGCCTCCAGTTGGCGGTCTCGAGGAGCACGCGTGACTTTCGAAACCCCGCTAAGCCGTGTCCGAATCGCACGTCTTTTCCGTTCCGCGATCCCGAGAGAAGCGAACCGCCACGATCGCCGCGTGACCCTCCCTCGTTTTCCGGCCTTTTCCTCTATTCGGGATTTCTAGTATTTTCCTACTACTGGTATTTTAGCTCCTTTGCTTTTCTAGTATTTAACATGTCTTGATGAACTATCGGTTGGCGTTGATCCCCCACACCCCCCTCCCCCCCCCCCCCCCCCCCCCCCCCCCCCCCGGGTCGTAAACCGAGCTATAACTTATTTATTCTTAATTCGACTTAATATTTATTGTAATTTACTGTATTTCTCTTAAAGCTATTATAAAGAAAGAAGTACTTATTGTGGCGCACGCGCCTTCTAGGCGGGTTCGTCACAGCTTGACAGTAAGACCATGCCACTTGCATTGCGGGTGAACTTTGAAATCTTTGGTCACACTACAATGAATACGATTTTTCGACTAGTGAAACTCTTAGCCGATCTGAGTACTAGGCTATAACCATTAAATTAAACTCCAACAAATCAAATGTGTTTCTTCGTTTGAAAAAGTGAAAACAAGTATTCACATAATATTGAACACGAACCTATGCACGCATGTAAGAAATTAACACCCCTGATGGCAATTTCGGAGAAATATGACATTCAAAATGCAGGCTTTTGCTAATATATAATCAAAAACAACAACTCTTAACGAGGTAAGGTGTCGTGACGATCGCGGTTATTGTTATTACCAATTAAAAACAAGAAAAGAAGTTAACTTCGGCAAACCGAAGTTTGTATACCCTTGCAGTTATAATTATTAAATTTAAAAGTACAAAAATTTATATTCCCAATCGTTCCTATGGCAGCTATAATATATTGTCGGCCGTTTTTTATAAAATTAAATTCGAAATTCAGAAGCAACTAAAAAATGTTGTTTCCAAGCGTAGGAGGTAATATGTTAAAAAACACCGAAGCTATAATTTGTTTCATATTATTTTCTCACCAATTTTCCGATCGTTCCTATGGCAGCTATATGATATAGTCGTCCGATTTTGATAAAATTTAATTTGAAATTCAAAACTAATTAGGAAACGTTATTTCCAAGCTTAAAAGGTTATATGTTAAAGAACACCAAAGAGATAATTTTTTAAATTTTTTTTTCCGATTATTCTTATGGGAGCTATAAGATATAGTTGTCTGATCCGGCTGGTTCCGACTTATATTATACCTGCAGAAAAAAATAAGACTTTTGGAAAAGTTTCAGCCCGATAGCTTTAAAACTGAGAGCCTACTTATTTATTTAAGATGATAGTAAAGTTTACAAAACTAATACTAACATAGGGGATGTAGTGCTAGCTACGAGGCCTTCGACTACGTATTTATTTACTTAATTTAACAATTCATTTATTTACTTAATTTAAAAATAATTTTTTTTTACATTTAGGTTTACATATATTTTTAATTTGAGGGATGTGAGGCGGGGCATGAGTTAAGGATGTGATCCATATTAATTGGGGCATGTGTAAGGCAAATTGGGCAGTTTTATGGGGTGGAGCGATCTAAATAATATTTATGTGTCAGGTTTGTATGTCCTAGACGCAATCTAGTACATTTAATTTAATCAAGGCGAGTTATTTGTTGTTGTGTTACGTTTGAGTAGAAAGATGTGTGTGTGTTGTTTGTGTTGATGTTTTGGTACCAATTATTGCATTTAAAAATTATGTTCTTTTTGGTTTCGTTGATTTGTTGTTTTAAGAATTTGTTAATGTCTTTTGTGCTTAAGTTTTGTGTGTATATTAGTGGCATATTTAGTGCTAACTTTGCTGCTTTGTCGGCCATCTCGTTTCCTTTAATGTTGCAGTGTCCTGGGGTCCATAAGATTTGGAATTTTGAGTAGTGCTTTGTTAGGACTTAACGGATTAGGGCTGGGTACATGTTATTGTTTTGTATGTTTTTTATGGCTTCGATGGCTCCTAGAGAATCGGAGCAAATAACGAATTTACCGTGCTTTTTTTAAAATTATTTTTAGGGCTTCAAGGATGCCTAAGATTTCAGCTGATTGTATTGAAGAGTAGGGTGGTACATTTCCGAATGCTAAGGTTTCTTGAGGTGTGGCCAAATATGTGAAGTCCGTAGTCAATTTTTGATATTAGAATTGCCTTTGCGAGCTAGGCATTTTATGATGTTCAGCTTGGAGGAGAGTGCAGGGATGAGAGCATTGATGTGGGTGTCCCAGTTGTATTTTTTGTTATTCCAAAGTACAAGGACTTTGATTGTTGTGTTGTTTATAATGGTGTTGTTGCAGGTGATAGTGCAGTTACAGTTGTGTTTTTTTACAAATGTGTAGGTGCTGGCATTTTGTTGGAGAAAGAGAGGCACCTGAGTAATTGCCCCAATTTTCGATGTCTAGAAAGAGTGGATTTAGGTTGTAATTTATTTTTTTGTTTTTTTTTTAGGTTTATTATTATAAAAAAATCGTCTGCATATGCGCTGAAGTTAATTTGTTTGTGTCGGGTGATTATGTTTGCGAGTTTGTTAAAAGCTATTATAAATAAGACGACTGATATCGGTGAGCCTTGAGGTATGCCGTTATCAAGAGGACGTATGGTATAGTTTTGTGTTCCTTCTCGGACTGTTATGTTGCTCATAAAGTTTTTAACATAGTTTATTATTTTTGGTCCACATTTCCAATCGATAAATTGGTCTATTATTAAGTGTGCACCCACTCGATCAAATGCTCTTGCAAAGTCAAGAGAGACGAGTGAGATGCGCTATTTTGTTTTTAGTGACTTCGTTATGAAATTTTCCTTTTTTGAAGCCGAAGTCTTTGTAATATTATTTTGTCCAATATTTTTCCTATGCAGCAGTTAAGTGAAATGGGTCTGTTGGAGGTAATGTCTGTTTAATTCTTATTCGGTTTGAGTATGGTTATTATGAGGCTCGTTTTGTATGATTGTGGGATTTACGTGTTAAAAATTTTGTTAAATTTGGATACTATTCTATCTTGTACTGTTGAGGAGCTTTTTTTGATCATCGGGTATGACAATCTATTGAGTCCAGGTGTAGATCCTTTCAAGGATTGTAACGCTATTGTAAGTTATATTTTTGTTATGTTTTTTTCTATTTGGGTTGCAGATGTGGATGGGTTGTGGTTTAAAATTATTGGCTTATATTTGTGAGATGTGAATTATAGGTCGAAATTGTAATCTGTGGCAAGGCTAGACCAGTGTTGTGCGAATTGGTTTGCAATGTGTGTTCATGTGTGTTAGTTGTGTTGTTTACGCAGTGTATTTTTTTACATTGATTTAAACCACAGAATCGTCTAATGTTGTTCCATATTGTTGATGTCGGTGTGTTACTTTGTATAGTAGATGTAAATGCGATGGTGGCTTCTCTTTTTCTTATTTTAATTTTTCTTTTAAGAAGTGGGTTTGCTCTACGATAGCTAATGATGTTGGCTTGCGAAATGTCTCTGTTAAGTGTTTTCCAGGCGTTTTTCTTCCTTTGATGCATTTGTGTAAGTTTTTTGTTCCACCAAGGAACTTTGTATGAGTGTAGGATTTGTGATGATTGTGGTATACTAAGATGTGCGCTTTGTATTATTATTTTGTTGATGGTGGCTGCTTCTTTGTTGATGTTTGTAGTTATGGTTTGTAGTTCAGGTTTGAAGTAGAGCCAGAGAATTTTTCCCAATTGGCTTCTTTGACTTTAAAGAATGGTTTGCTGTAGTAGTTTTGTGGGTTGACAGGAAATAAGGAAGTTAGGATAGGGAAATGACTCGTCTAGTCATGCTGATCAATATATATAAACTTTAAGGGGTCGGAAGCTTCTCCTTTACTGCGTCGCAAACTTCTGAATGAAATCAATATACCCTCCGCAAGGGTATAGTAAACGAAAGATGTAGGGGAAAGTCAATGCCGCGATATTATGGGTCAAGAGTGGGTTTCATATCTTTGCATATGAAGCTAAAATTCAGTAAATTAATAAAATATTTAATAAAATTCAAGGGCATTTATGTTCGCGCGGCTCACCGACCGAATTCAGCGCTAGAGCCCCTTGCGCACGACAGCGGTACTACTGACCATGTCTAAGCTGGTTTAACGTAGTTAGCCATAACTTGTAAAATAACAACGTGATTGGTTCGATTCTACAAATTTAGAGAGGTATTACCAACTTAAATCGGGTTTATTTTACACTAAAACAAAATCAATAAAAATGTGGGCGCCAGGCAGACTTTAGCGTTAAAGAAGATTGTGAGCTTGTCACTCCTTTGAAACAAACTTGCACTTTCTCAGAACCATTAGAACCTGTATGTTTAATCCCAACATCAAGGATTTATAACTCAGCGTTCATAGGAAGGGGCAGACAGACATGGCTAGATCGACTCGGCTAGTAAACACTTCCTTCTACCTTAAGCCTAGTACTCAGATCGGCTAAGAGTTTCTGTTGGAATATGACATTACTTCATATCGATAAGAATATCGTATAAGCAAAAGTATTCTGCTCACTACTGGTAACACTAATATCGTTTTGGTTCCGATGAGCTGGTTCAGCTCTTACTTATTCCGCATAATTTTGAAGTGACAAGACGTGATCCAAGGAACTTAAAATATATATCTAAAACTATACATAAAGTGTACTTAACTTGGTTTGTGAGTTGGTGGGAAGTGTAGTATTGCGCCGAGCACATTATACATGCTGTGGGAGGACCACAGGACGAATACAAGAGACAACACGTGAAATCTGGATTCTGACGAAATAGTGTGACGCTTCCAGGAAATCACACACACACATAAATAAATTGTGTGTATTCTTATAGGTTATGGGCCCAGACCACGCCATAACCGCAGCAGTAAAAGTATCATTTTATTATATATATTAAACAAAAAAATGGAGAAAACCAATAAACGAAATATAAGGCCATTTGATGGAGAAAAATATTCCATCTGGAAATTTCGTATAAGGGCATTGTTAAACGAAATAGATGTGTTGAAGGTTATAGACCAAGAAGAAGAAGAAGATTTGGTTGAATGGCAGAAAAAGGAGAAATGCTCAAAAAGCGTGATCATTGAGTACTTAAGTGACTCGTTTTTAGGTTTTGCTAAAAGTGAAGATACTGCAAAGCAGGTTTTCCAAAATTTAGATTCAATCTATGAGAGGAAGAGTTTGGCCTCACAGTTGTCGACACGCAAGCAACTGCTATCTTTAAAACTTAAGAGCGATTCTCAGTTATTAAGCAATTTTAATTTGTTTGACGAACTCATTGCCGAATTGCTAGCATCAGGTGCTAAAGTTGAAGAAATGGACAAGGTTTCGCATTTACTACTAACACTGCCATAGAAACTTTAGCAGAAAACAATTTAACCTTGGCCTTTGTAAAAAATCGTCTGTTGGATCACGAGATCAAGCTAAAAAATATTAGCAAAGATACCAGTCTAAAGGTTATGCAGGCTGTAAAAAAGGACAGTAAGCCTCAATTTTCTTATAAGAAAAGTAGCGAATTTGCAACAAATAGAGTTTCAAAGTTCCAGAAAAAATGTTTTCATTGCGGCAAGAGTGGTCACATTAAAAAAGATTGCTTTGCTCTAAAAAGGGAAAAGGAGAAACATGGAAATGGCAAACAGGCGTAGATGACATCCACACAAAGCCAAGGAAATCATAATGGGATCGCATTTATGATGAGACGCGCAAATAGCCAACCAAACATTGGGTTCTTATTGGATTCTGGCGCATCAGACCATTTGGCCAACAATGAGAGTTTGTTTACAACTATCACTGAACTAGATGACCCTATTAAAATTTCTGTTACCAAGAACGATGTATTCATTTATGCAGTTAAGAAAGGAACAGTGAAGCTGTACACAGATTCAAATGAGAAAATTGAGCTTAAAGATGTCTTACACTGTCCTGATATCCCTGAAAACTTGATCTCAGTTAAAAAAATGCAGGAGGCAGGCCTTACCATTGTATTTCACCCAGGAGGTGTAACTGTTAGAAAAGGTAAAATAATTGTAATGAATGGAAGTATATTTGGAAATGTTCCATTGGTTAATTTCTTTTCTAATAAACTAGCTTGTATTGCAAATGCAGCTAAAAATAATAATTATAGTTTGTGGCATGAGAGGATAGGTCATTTGAGTAAGGGAAAGTTTTTAGAAATTAAAACCAAAAATATGTTTGACAATACAGATTTGCAGAATAACATAAAACCAGAAAATGAATTATGTGAAGCTTGTGTCAAGGGAAAGCAGGCGAGATTAAGTTTTAATAAATTTAAAAATAAGGACCACATAAATCGACCATTATTTGTTGTACATTCTGATGTGTGTGGTCCAATAACCCCATCTACTGTTGATCATAAGAATTATTATGTAGTTTATTTATCGAATGAAATGAAAGAGTTCTGTGTTCAAAAAGGCATTAGTTACCACTTGACGATTCCACATACTCTACAACAAAATGGTGTATCCGAAAGGATGATTAGATCTATAACGGAAAAAGCTCGAGCTTTAGTTATAGGGGGCAAGATTCAGAAAACTTTCTGGGGTGAAGCAGTGCTAACAGCCACCTACCTTATTAATATAAGCCCAACTAGTCCATTACATGAATGCAGAAAGACACCTTTTGAAATGTGGCACAGCAAAAAGCCGTGCCTGAACTACTTAAGAGTTTTTGGTTCGACAGTATACGTTCTCAATAAAACGAGAAAAAGAAAATTTGATGACAAATCATGGAAAGGTATACTTGTCGGGTATGAACCAAATGGATATAAAGTATAGGATGTGGAGAATAACAAATTTGTTATTGCAAGAGTAAACGACTTAGGTGTTCTCCTAGATCCTAAACTTAAATTTGACTCCCACATAACCTCTACTGTAAATAAAGCTATGAGTGTTCTTGGGTTTATAAAGCGTTGGTCTAAAGAATTTGATGATCCATACACTACCAAATTATTATTTACCTCACTTGTCCGACCTAATTTAGAATACTGTTCTTCCGTTTGGAGTCCTCAGTATCAAGTGCTCATTGACCGTATAGAGTCCGATCAGAAACAATTTCTTCTTTTTGCCTTACGTGGTTTGAACTGGGATCAAAACGTCAGGTTGCCTTCTTACTCGAGTAGATTGCTATTAATTAATTTGCCTACTCTAGTAAGCCGTAGAATTATGCTTGGTACTATTTTTATGAATAATCTTATCAGAGGCGATATTGATTCTGTAGATTTGGTAAGCCGCCTAAGTTTCAATGTTCCTGTTAGACTAATGCGAAACTACCATCCTATCAACTTGCCACGATGTTCATCTAATTTTAGTCAGCATCAGCCCTTTCGCGTTCTTTCAAATAATTATAACAACCTATATCATTTAATTTGTTACTCAACTTCTATCCCTGTACTAAAAACTCAAATCTTAGCTCATTTGCTTTAATCTTGTTGATCTATGTTTTGTCCTGTCTTTATTTGTTCTACCTTCCTCGCGAACCGTTTTTGCCCGAAATAAAAATGTGCCCGCGCGTAACAAGCACGTGCTTGGTGTCGTTTGGGCCACTTGTTTGTACTGCTCTTAGTGCATCAACGTTCAACAATATATATATTAAGAGTAGTGATGTAAAAAAACATCGATGCATCGAGCATCGATGATTTTTCGGCGATGTTTTTCGATGTTTTTCGATGTTTTATGTTATGCCGATGTCTATCGATGCATCGATGTTTAACCAAAACATCGGGCGTCGAGTTGCACAACATTGCAGATCATATGGTTTCAGTGCCGCACAGACAAATTCGCGGTTTTTGTTTTAGTAATGTAATGATGTAATGAAAAAGACTGCTGAATGCTCATGAATTGATATAGTTTTAAGTTCGTTTATAAAATTGTTAACAAAACCACTCAATGAAGAAATAAAAAAGAAAAAACTAAGAAAGCTTTTATTTTTTTAGTCTTAATTCCTTCTTATTTAAATATTAAAAAATCTCAATAAAAAATTTAATAGGCTTCTACAAATTGAATTAACGAAAAATATCGGAATGGGTTGAAAACATCGATGCATCGATGTTTCTAGCCGATGTTTCACAAAACATCGATGTATCATTTTGCAAACAACGATGAAGATCGACATCGATGTTTCGACCCAAATTTACATCACTAATTAAGAGATGTAGTGTTTGATGAATCAAGCAGGATAATGTCTAGAGCTGTGGGTGTTGATAACAACATGGATTTTCCCATTCTTGAAGAAAATATTGAACCTGCTTTTCAAGACTCTGGTCTTATTGAGAGTGAAACGGTTCAGAAAAACACTGATATGGTAGTATGAGATGTGCAGCCTAGTGAAATTGAAAATGAAGTGGAGAATGAAGTAGAAAATGCCGATCCAGAGATATCTGGTGTTTTATCTGAAGGTGAACCAAGTGACTCTAATACTCAAATTCGAAAAAGCAATAGACTAAAAGAAAAGCCCAAATTGTCATATATAGATATGATTAAAAATTGTGTTATGAATGCGCAAACTTTAACAGGTAGTGCTCCAATATCTTTTGATGAAATTAATAATAGGAGTGATAAAGAACAGTGGAGAGCAGCTATTGAAGATGGGCTTAATTCTCATGAAATTAACAAAACATGGTCACTGGTAGAAAGACCTGAAAAAAAAAACATAGTCGATTGTAAATGGATATTTACAATAAAACAGAACGAGTTTGGTAGACCAGTAAAATATAAGGCCAGACTTGTAGCACAAGGATTTACACAGGAATATTTAATCGATTACGACGAAACATTTGCCCCTGTGGCTAGAATTGCAAGTTTCAGACTTATAATGTCTTTTTCAAACCAGTATAGCCTTAAAGTACATCATATGGATGTAAAAACTGCTTTTTTAAATGGAGATTTAAAAGAGGAAATATACATGAGAGTTCCTCAAGGACTGTCTTGTAATAGCAGTCATGTTTGTAAATTGAATAAAGCAATTTATGGTCTTAAGCAGGCGGCTAGATGTTGGTTTAAAGTGTTTGAAAAGGCTTTAAAAGATATTGGTTTTAAAAATTCACCTGTAGATAGATGTATATATATTTTGGATAAAGGGACTATTTTAAAAAATATATATGTTTTGTTATACGTAGATGACTTGGTTATTTGTACAGAAAACATTTTAACAATGAATAAATTTAAGTCATATTTAATGAGCAAGTTTCAAATGACAGATTTAATGGAAATTAAGTATTTTATTGGTATTAAAATAGACACAAAAGAAAGTAAAGTGAAATTAAGCCAATCAGCTTATATTAAAAATATTTTATTAAAATTTAAAATGGAGCAATGTAATTCTGTAAATTTACCACTTCCAAGTAAACTGAACTTTGATTTATTAGACTCTGATGAAAGAGACGATTCTCCTTGTCAAAGTTTGATTGGATGCCTTATGTATGTAATGCTATGTACAAGGCCAGATCTCAGTATATCTGTAAATCTTTTGAGTCGGTATAGTCAGAAAAATAATAAAGAGCTTTGGCTATGCTTAAAAAGGGTATTAAGATATCTGAAAGGTACTATTGATTTTAAGCTAACATTCACTAAAACTGAGAAGAATGACGACTTCTTTGATGGATATGTAGATTCAGATTGGGGTGGAAGTCAATTGGATAGGAGAAGTACAACAGGATATCTTTTCAAGATGTTTAAAACAAACCTGATTTGATGGAGTACTAGAAAACAGAATTCAGTGGCAGCATTATCAACCGAAGCCGAATAAATGGCATTGTTTGAGGCTGTAAGGGAAGCCCTATGGTTAAAATCTTTACTAGAAAGTTTGAACATAAATCTAAAGCAACCTATTACAATTTTTGAAGATAATCAGGGCTGTATTAGTATCGCCAACAACCCCTCTTGCCACAAACGTTCAAAACATATAGACATCAAATATCATTTTTCACGTGAACAAGTTGAAAATAAACTAATACAACTTGAGTATATTTCTACAGATCATCAACTGGCGGATATATTAACAAATCCACTCCCAGCTCCACGCTTCGCACAACTAAGACAGCGTCTTGGCTTAACCGATTGATGGATGCAGACGACAATTTTTTTTATATACTTACATAAAAGTTGAAGACATAATTTAATTTGTCATTTAAAAGAATAATTTTTTGAAACTATGTTATTGAATTTAAAATCTGTTATATTTTCAAGTTATTAAGTTTGGAAACAGAAGATATTCCTAATTACTTTATAATTTTCAAATTTATAAGATTACTTCCTGAAATTGCCTTTAATTGTTTTGTATGTTAATTTTGCATCACATCATTTTGTCATTTTGAATATTCAATTTTCTTTGTATTAATTTTAAGATTCACCTAATTGGGTTTTACTGGGTTTCTCCAATTCAAGCAACAAATGTTGGGTCAATGTGCACTCCCAGAAATATCTTGTCTTGTCAATGTGCACTCCCAGAAATATCTTGTCTTGCCAACTCAAATTTCAAATTGTTTATTAAACTTTAAATTTATAAATCATGAGCATCAGACTTTTGAGGAGGTGTGTTGGAATATGACGTTACTTCATATCGATAAGAATATCGTATAAGCAAAAGTATTCTGCTCACTACTGGTAACACTAATATCGTTTTGGTTCCGATGAGCTGGTTCAGCTCTAACTTATTCCGCATAATTTTGAAGTGACAAGACGTGATCCAAGGAACTTAAAATATATATACTATACATAAAGTGTATTTAACTTGGTTTGTGAGTTGGTGGGAAGTGTAGTATTACGCCGAGCACATTATACATGCTGTGAGAGGACCACAGGACGAATACAAGAGACAACACGTGAAATCTGGATTCTGACGAAATAGTGTGACGCTTCCAGGAAATCACACACACACATAAATAAATTGTGTGTATTCTTATAGTTTCACTAGTAGAAAAATCTTATTCTTTGTAGTGTGACCGAAGTTTTCAAAGATCACCCGCAATGCATGTAGCATGGTCTTACTGTTAAGCGGCTGAAAAGAAATCAATTGGAGAAATCTAAAAAAGAAGAGTCTGCTGGTGCACAAAGAAATTAAAATAAAAATAAATGAAATGTTCAACGAATGTTTTTATTTATGTAAATTAGTAGTTTAAAGCTTCTTTCTCGTCCCACGGATGCTTCGCCCTCTTTCCCGCGCCACCGCAGTCCAGCTCTGAGACCCAATGGGCATTTTTGACCTTAAGGAAGTGGGAGCCGGATTGGAAGCGGGGTTGATCCGCTGATGCTGCAGAAAGTCGCCCAGCATCCTGGCAATGGCTGGCTATGGCTTCCCCAACTGATCCTTAGCGGGCGCCCTGTTTTCCTCCTCCCTATAGAAGGCAGCGCGTCCTTCAGCTCCGCATAAGCTGCCAAGTAGCTGGTGGTGGTGGTGTCCGGAGTCCTAATGGAGATATCGTCGGAGATCGTATTACTGGTGGTTCTGCTAAAAAGATACTTCTATTAGTACAACGCGACCAAATTCTTTTGGCCAGATCTTACTTTCTTTGCGAGGACGCACCCGGCAGGATGTCCATGTAGAGATCGAAGTCCCACTCGGCATGTTCCTTCCCACTGGGATTCTCTAGTGGATCTCCTCCAGCACTTCAACTATTCTGCGAATTTGCCCCTTTTGTGGAATTGCTTCCTGTCGGCGAAAACCCGCAATAAAGGGCATAAGCTTGGATTCGGCGTCCTTTTTCATCTGCACTGACCTCCTTTAGCCGTTTTTGGTGTTTTTCTTCCATTTTTAATTTTTAAATTTCCCATCGCTTCTGCACGAACACCGCCAAAGATCAAATTTCTTATTCTTTGGGCCGCGGCTAACGGCGTTTATCGAAAATTCACTAGCGAAATCTAGTATTTTGTCTAGTATTGCCTTAGCTCATCTGAGTACCGCGCTGAAAAACAGACCCGACGAAAACCTTTAGCCGCCTGTTTGCTTGTCGCTCACTCCTATGGTTAGCTCGCGGTTTTCGTCGATGTGAGTACTAGGCTTTATGAACAAAATACTGGAGTACTAAATCTATTTGCGGAAACAGCATCCGTCTGAATAGGTACTAGCCGATTTTAGTACGAGGCTTTTATCCTTTTCACACAGAGGGCGTTTCCGCATCAGCGACCAAATTCCGCTTCGACTGCTTTCTCTTTCATAAGATATATACGTGCTAAAAAAAGACAGGAACAATTTGAGTCAATTCGCTTCAGCGGAAAATGGGATCGCGCACGCGAATTGATTCAGTATTCCAGTGTTTTTATTCAGTATTTTTTTAAAAGAATTTAGGTGATTTCTGTACTTGGCGTTTTAGTATTTTATTGAGAAGTAAATCCGATTGAACTGCAATGGTGCCGTTATATGGAAATTGTTGTTAGTGAAGGCCCATGGAGCCTTCCAACGCATCGAAATCCAGCAATTGATTTGAATAGAAGCATTGCAGTGCTATTTTTTAAGTTATAACCAACCTCAAGCTGATGTCCTTCTTGAAAGACCTGGCCCTATTGCACAAAAACGTACATTTTGTTACGTACGCCCTCCCCCATATCAAGATTAACCCCGGCAAAACAACTGCCATTAGTTGAGGGTACGGGCCGTAATAACTAACCACACTGCGATTGATAAAAGCAAAATCAGCAAAAACAATTCGACAACTCATGGATGTCGCGTGGCCAGAACGACGACCACGATCGACCTGCTCGTAACCGTACTCCAGTAAGGTGGCAAAGTGCACCAGCCGGCCATTGACTCCTAAAATAGGGGAAATGGAGAAACAGTACCCCTAGGTGGGAACACCTAGTTAATTCATCCAATATGGGGGGCTAGCGAAAGCTCTAGTCCGGTATAAAAGACCCCAGCCAAATGGAGAAGAGACAGAAATTGTTCTGATCTCTCCCTGACGGTGGTCTAGAAGTACAACTCCCATCGACACAGACCACGACTGGAAGAAAGCTGGTGTCCAGAAGGATGTCTTGACGTTTCCCTAGGATCAACTTCACCCAGGAGAAAGTCCCGATAACCGGTCCTGCGATCGACCACAATCTGGAGAAAGTCAACCTGCAAAATCCCGAAGGACGAAAAGAACTAGCGAACCAAGTGAATGCCCTAAGGAACCCAAGATGGGTAGCAAAACGTCTAAAGTGGCCGGCAGCGCCGCCAATGTGATTAACACAGTAGAGATCGTTGACCACAAAGATGATATTCAGGATGTCAACAAGACCATGAAGCTCATCGTTGGACTACTCCTGGTTATAGTGCTCCTTAAGGTTGTAAAGATCTACAGCGCTCTGTTCAGAGACGCCGCGACCAACATCATGCCCTGGAGAAAGTGGTGACTCACATTGGAGCATAAGCCAAGCAGATACAGTGAAGTGAAGCAGCAAAAAGACAATAGAAACAATAAAATAATAATAAATAAATTGCACTCCAATATTGTAAACCAAAAAGTGAATCGCCACAAACAATCACAAACAATTTGCAAGTACATGCATTTCTGAATGCAAGTGTAAACAGAACCCCCAATTACCTACGCTGAACAAGAAATTGGAGCGGCACCGACCAGCCCCCAGCTCGAGCATTGGAACCGACGTGCGCCGCAGTGGAGCTCGCATACGATGCATGCATACATACATATCTATACAGCAATAGTGTTATTTTTTTTGTGTAACATAATTTTTGTGTTTTGTTTTTGTAAGCCGCCTTCAAGTCTTGCACGTATATATGTATATAAACCAATTATAAAATCTCCCAAGGCCCAGGATCCGGAGCGTCGAGATCTCATCGCCCAGGATTAAAAAGAGGGTAAGTTTGTCGGAACACGGTTCCTTTTCTTATACATACATATATATATATATCCGTGCACCATGATTACATCAAAAGCTTTAGCAAAAACAATAGACACTGATCCACAATTTAACGTAAGAATTTTATACCTGTTATCAAAAGCGACCCTACCAATAACAGTAAATGAATTGGAATACTTATATATTGAGACCTTCCGTCTAGATTTTTCTCCACTTGCCCACTGTAATAAGACCGAAAAAGCTATCATTATCTCTACCGTTCCAACGGTCATTGTTCTCTCCCGTCTGGATAAGAATTTGTTTTTGGGCAATGTTAATACTTTCCTAGTTAAGACAAAGAATTAATCTGTTAGGAATACATGTAATAATATATAATATCCATATATAATAATTGTTTCATATATATAATCATTTAGATATACTTTTCTTTTTTATACCTTTTTCTACCTTTTTTGTACATAAAAATTAAGTGTTAATTTTTCAGCGGCGAGCATCAGCCTTGTACTTGTATGTACAATTGCAAGAGCCCTCTGAGCGTTTGTAGTCGTGAATAGTCAGCATTTTGCTGATGTGTGCACCTTCACAGGTGGTAAAGTCGATATTCTCCGCTAATACAATAATTGTCAATTAAATTAGTCCCGGCACACGCCGACATAAATATTATTTAATAAATTTATAATGTGAAAAAGAATTCGAAACCATGGTGTGCTAGAACTCTAACAAAGGGGGTGTGCTGACGCGAGGAGTGAAGTAGGTCAAGAACAATGACATAACTTTCGACGGACAACCTTGACAATAGGGGATCGTATTGCGCGGCCCGCGACGATCCATTGGCACACGAATGTGTGAAGGGGAGGGAATATGGCCAAAACACAGCCCGATCGTATTGCGATCAAGCGACAGCTAATCTTGTTGGGCAGTGTAGACTGATGACTGACGAACTTGATGACTATTATTATTTTTCCAGGCACCTTTAATATTTATTCTCGTTATGTTGGAGAAGAGAGAGGCTTACCAAGATCCCACGACCCGAATACGACGTAGCTTATGCCGGCAAATGGTGCCTAAACATCGGACGCCTCTCCCTCGGCCCAAGTCCTTGTCAGGACTCGGGCACTAATATGCCCACGTAACAATTTTTTATCTAAAAAAAAATACATTTAAAGAGTCATTAACCTCACAAAATTGTTGCCTACAATTAATATGTTAATTACAATGAATTAACCATTTGACGCTGAACACTTTCGACATGTCAGTTTTTAATATGTATTCATTTTTGAGATGTTTTCTATTTTTTTCAGAGCAACTGAACTTTCACGTCCACTCCCTTTGGATACGGTTTCCTATGCCGATCAGCTGTTCGCTTCAGGAATTTTCTATGTGAACAAGAATACGATTAAAAATTAAGAGGGTATATAACACCGCTAACTATATCAAAACACGTTACACATCGGATGCAATTAGAGGCCTAATTTAATAAAGACTTATATACACGAAAACATATTCGTTTTAAAAAAGGAAGTACTTGAATAGTTCTTAAATGAATTGTAATAAAATAGATTGCATTAAAAATTATGTAAATATATGTATGGGTCAAGAGTGGGTTTCATATCCTTGCATAAGAAGCTTAAATTCAGGAAATTAATAAAATATTTAATAAAATTCAGGGGCATTTATGTTCGCGCGGCTCACCGACCGAATTCAGCGCTAGAGCACCTTGCGCACGACAGCGGTACTACTGACCATGTCTAAGCTGGTTTAACGTAGTTAGCCATAACTTGTAAAATAACAATGTGATTGGTTCGATTCTACAAATTTAGAGAGGTATTACCAACTTAAATCGGGTTTAATCAATAAAAATGTGGGCGCCAGGCAGACTTTAGCGTTAAAGAAGATTGTGAGCTTGTCACTCCTTTGAAACAAACTTGCACTTTCTCAGAACCATTAGAACCTGTATGCTTAATCCCAACATCAAGGATTTATAACTCAGCGTTCATAGGAAGGGGCAGACAGGCATGGCTAGATCGACTCGGCTAGTGAACACTTCCTTCTACCTGCCGTGCACGTTCCTACTTAAATAATCGACCCTTTTACTCTACGAGTAACGGGTATAATCGTCGTCGGTTCTATTTTTCAGCGCGGTACTCAGATAAGCTAGGGAAATACCAGAAAAAAAACCAGATTTAGCGAATGAGTTTCGATGAACGCCCTTAGCTGCGGCCCAAAGAATAAGAAATTTAATCTTAAGCGGTGTTCGTGCAAAGGCGGTGTGGAAACTATAAA